GGCTCCCTGTCTCTGTATTTGAAAACCTTTTCGCAAAGGGAATTGCCTAATATGTGGACTTTTACAATAAAAATGCTGCATTCTCATCCATGGTGGCATCCCAGTGGTCTGGTTGGACGTGTATATCTTAAAGATTGTGACCATTTCTTCCTGGCTCATTACCCAACACTACCTTCCCTTTCCGTGAGATTCATGTGTGAGCAGTGTGATCATCTTTTGCATCATGAGGCCCCTCACTTCACAAGAATTAAGAGATGCACTTGGGTGTGGCGTGGAGACAGAAGGTAGAAAGGTCATGATGTAATAAAGCTCAGGCCTCCTGTACCTGAAAACTTGTGGTGTGGTTAAGAATATGGACACAATGTCAGACATAGTTGGGGCCCCAGCCCTACATTTTTAAAATATATTTTATGAATTTTACAGAGAGGAAGGGAGAGGATAGAGAGTTCAGAAACATCCATGAGAGAGAAACATCGACCAGTTGCCTTTTTTACAACCCCTATTGGCGATCGAGCCCGCCCGCAACCAAGGTACATGCCGTTGATCAGAATCAAACCTGGGACCCTTCAATCCATGAGCTGACACTCTATACACTAAGCCAAACCGATTAGGGCTTAACTCTACATTTACCAGTTATTTGACAATTGTCAATTTAGCCTTAATGAGGCTCCGTTTTACCTGCTATAAATTAGGTACAATAATGCCAACCAATGTAGTGTCATTCAACAAATGGGGCAAAAGTCCCTTCCCTCATTTCTAGTGCCTATAGTGCTCAGCTAACCATGCACCCTGTTGGCTCAGTTCTCCTAAAGGAACCCCCCAGCCTTAATGTGACTCTATGTCACAATGTTTGATCTTTAAAGAGTATACATTTCAAACGTTCTTTAAAATCTAGGTTGAAAATCTAAGTCTACTGTTGGAAAAAAAAAAACCAAAAAACCTCACACATTAGATTAGTATTTTTAAGGTCAAAGAGCCTTTCTCTGTATCCCTGAAACTGAAAAAGATAGGGAGCTATGCTCCAGAACCCCATTTTCTTGAAGTCCTTTGAAATTTTCAAACGAAAGTAGCATATTTTTTTTACAAACACAGCTGGCTCTAACCTTCCTCTGCCTGTCATTACCTTGGCCCCTCATGGCTTCCTGCATCCAATTTAAACATCTATTTCTCACCTCTCAGAAGTGTAAAGAAAAAGAGTTTTTACCTAGGTCTTGTCTGTTCTCTAGGTAATGCCCTTATCTTTAGCTGAGTGGATATTCATGGCATGGCCTTTACACACACACACACACACACACACACACACACACACACACACACACACTGTTTTAAAGTAGCAACATGCACCAGGCCTCTAGTTAGGATAATAAAAGTCTTCCCCTATTACTGTTTGTGTAACAAAATAAAAAAGCAGAGGCTTTTGCCCTAGATTACCTGGGTTCAAATCCTGACATTGTTCAAACCTAGTGTCCAACTTTATTTTGCCTCAGTTTCTTCATCTGAAAAATGGGGATAATGATGGTTCATAGTTTTATTGTAAGGAGTAACTGTGTTAATACTAAAGGATGATTGGATGTTAGTAATTTTCCTCAGCACAGATATGAATTGTCAGAAATAAAAGGGCACAAGAATCATACTCTACCTTGCTTAAGAATAATTATTATTTATGAAGTTAAATACTACAGTTTTCTACTATGTATGAATGCATTTAAATAAACATCTTTAGTGACATCATGCCGTACTTGGGAAATCCATGTACATAAAGAGAATTATAGAGCTAAGTAACTATTTCCAAGTGGAACTGTGTATCATTTAAATTACTATGTGTGATATATATGAAGACACAAAGGTAGATATTTTTAAAAAGTAAAAATTATGATTTCCCTTACAAATTCAGAAATGCCTAATTGAATTACTAAATAAATAAATAACATTATAAATAGATGTGTAGTGCCATTTTAATGTAGTGCTTTTTGCAATATAACTAAGTCAATACATTATTTTGTAGCTAAGTTTGCAAAACCATAATGAAATGAACATGAGGATGCTTAATCATTATTGAGGACTCTTTTCATAAATAATAATAATAATACTGGGCTACAGGTAGATAATTCAAGACATACCTGGGATTTTCCTAAATATTCCTATCTCAGAAGCCTCAGTCTCATATATAAATGAGGATATTTAGTCACTTCTCCTTCAGACAGATCTTTTTTTTTCTTTTAATTGAATTTATTGGGGTGACATTGGTTAATAAAATTATATAGGTTTTAGGTATACAGTTCTATAATACATCACCTGTATATTGTATCATGTGTTCACCACCCCAAGTCAAGTCTCCTTCCATCACCATTTATCCCCCTTTAGATTCTTCTATCTCCAAATTCTTCAGACATATCTTACTTCTATCGCTCCTCTGCTGCTTTATTATGGTATGATGTTATTAATCATCTAACATTCAGACTCTCCTAAACTCATATCTTCACACTGCTATCTTCACTCATTTGTCCTATTTTCTCCTTCAATTTTCTCCAAAAGAGTGCCGTATTCCTAGAATGCCTCTCTCTGATCAACAGGCATAACAGTCACTAATTAAAGATTCTACCTGGTCCATAAACTTTCCAATTTCACTAAAGTACAATAGGCTATTTTCCTTTATCTCTTCCAGTACTTGATGTGATTTCTGAGTAGTCTAATTCCAATGTTTACCTCAGCTAAGTACTTACATTCATCCAATCCTCTCAGTAAACATATTTTAAATGAACAATTCTGTGACAAGAATATGATATAAATAATTCACTATTCATTTGCATCTTAAGAATCTTCTGTGTATTTCCTGGTTTTATAGATTTGCCTCATAATTCCTTCTGTTACTTGCATTTTTATGGATCTGGAAATAAGTTTCAATTAAGCATCTATAAATTCAATTCAGTATAAAGCTTTCTGTAAACACATACTGCAACTCTCACATACCTGCAGTATGAGTGCAAGACAAAATAAAAAATAGGGCATTCTCTGCTGTAAGATGTCCATAATTTGATAGAGGAGTAAGAGAAGAATACAAGTATTCCTAATGGAGCTGCATAAAAAATAGTGATCTACACTAATAATAGAGAAAGATGCAAATTGACTGTACCTTCATGCAGCCCACCAGCCAATCAGGAGTTAGTATTCAAATTAACCCAACAAAGATGGCAGGTTGATTTACATATGCAGGCTCCAAGCGGCCCGGGGCACGGTGGGATGCCTGCATCATCGCCATGGTGATGACACAGGTGTTCTGCACTGCCCCAGCTGCTCTGGGCTTCTGGGCAGTATGGGAAGGTGGAAAGGTGGCTCCAGGCAAGAACAAAGGTAGTGCCGGCAGCCAGGGGAAGGAAGGCCCATTCTTGCACGAATATTTGTGCATCAGGCCTCTAGTAGGTAAAAGAAATCATTATTCTAATAGTGAGTGAAACCATAAAATATTTTTTCTGGCACACAAAGCATTTCACCATATGTGAAGGGTTCCCATTC